CGGGCCCATGGACAGATTACGGGCCTGGCAGCACGGTACAGGGGCCCCATGACAGATTAGGGCCTGGCAGCAGCATGAGGAGTTCGGTACGGGGGCCCATGACACAACTCTGGACACTGGCAGCACAATGAGGAGGCAGTACAGGGGCGCATGACAGATTACTCTGCCTGGCAGCAGCAACTTGGACAGGAGGACGTTCAGCTTCTGCAGCCGCGGGGCGTGCTCGCAAACTGTTAGTCCTCTTGGAAACGGATTCACCAAGAAAGATCTGCTGACGGAAATACCGTGAAGAGGAGTAGAGGAGAAGGAGCATCTGAACGAGCGAAATATGCCAACAAGCGACAACAGGGGCCCATGACAGATTACGGGCCTGGGCAGCAGCATGAGGAGTCGGTACGGGGGCCCATGCAGATTACGGGCCTGGCAGCAGCAATGGGAGGCCGTAATCTGCCAGCACCCTATGACAAAAAATGGAACACACCAGCAGTGTGAGAGAGACCTGAAAGTGGCACATGGCAGAGTGTGGCGCAGGAGACAGGCAGCAATGGGCAGGCCGTACAGGGACCCATGATGAGACCTGGACCTGGCAGCAGCATGAGGAGGCGGTACAGGGGGCCCCATGGCAGATTAGGGGCCTGGCAGCAGCTATGGGAGGCCCGTAATCTGCCAGCACCCTATGACAAAAAATGGAACACACCAGCAGCAGTGAGGAGACCTGAAAGTGGCACATGGCAGAGTGTGGCGATGGAGACAGCAGCAATGGAGGCCGTACAGGGACCCATGAGAGACTGTGGACCTGGCAGCAGCATGAGGAGGCGGTACTGGGCCCATGGCAGATTAGGGGCCTGGCAGCAGCAATGGGAGGCCCGTAATCTGCCAGCACCCTATGACAAAAAATGGAACACACCAGCAGTGTGTGAGGAGACCTGAAAGTGGCACATGGCAGAGTGTGGCGATGGAGACAGCAGCAATGGGAGGCCGTACAGGGACCCATGGGAGACTCTGGACCTGGCAGCAGCATGAGGAGGCGGTTACAGGGGCCCATGGCAGATTAGGGGCCTGGCAGCAGCTATGGGAGGCCCGTAATCTGCCAGCACCCTATGGACAAAAAATGGAACACACCAGCAGTGTGAGGAGACCTGAAAGTGGCACATGGCAGAGTGTGGCGATGGAGACAGCAGCAATGGGAGGCCGTACAGGGACCCATGAGAGACTGTGGACCTGGCAGCAGCATGAGGAGGCGGTGGTACTGGGGCCCATGGCAGATTACGGGCCTGGCAGCAGCAATGGGAGGCCCGTAATCTGCCAGCACCCTATGACAAAAAATGTAACACACCAGCAGTGTGAGGAGACCTGAAAGTGGCACATGGCAGAGTGTGGCGATGGAGACAGCAGCAATGGGAGGCGGTTCAGGGACCCATGAGACACTGTGGACCTGGCAGCAGCATGAGGAGGCGGTACAGGGGCCCATGGCAGATTAAGGGCCTGGCAGCAGCAATGGGAGGCCCGTAATCTGCCAGCACCCTATGACAAAATGGAACCCTGGGCTGGGGCAGGCAGAACCGCCGTATCTTTATCACGGTTTTCCCAGGCCACCGAATGGCGACGCTGCATATGCTGACGCAACGCTGTAGTCCCAACATGGGCCCCCTGGCCACGCTTGACTTTCTGGCCACATAGTCGACATACGGCTACGTTTACTTCCTCGGGGGCTTGACGAAAAATTGCCACACCGCCAGAGTAGGAAACTTTGCCCCCGGCTACTCCTCACTGGCTGACTGCTACTTCCTCCGTGCACACCGGCACCACTACTGGCCGTGGTTGGTAGGCTGCAGTGGAGCTGGTGCTCTACTCCGTGGAGCCGTTTGCCTCCACTGACACTGCTGCGACCCTGCTGCCTCCTGGCAGCAGCAATGGGAGGCCGTACAGGGACCCATGACACACTCTGGACCTGGCAGCAGCATGAAGAGGCGGGTCGGTACAGGGGCCCATGGCAGATTAGGGGCCTGGCAGCAGCAATGGGAGGCCCGTAATCTGCCAGCACCCTATGACAAAAAATGGAACACACCAGCAGTGTGAGGAGACCTGAAAGTGGCACATGGCAGAGTGTGGCGATGGAGGAGACAGCAGCAATGGGAGGCCGTACAGGGACCCCATGACAGACTCTGGACCTGGCAGCATGAGGAGGCAGACCTTAAAGGGGCCCATGGCAGATTACTGGGGCCTGGCAGCAGCATGGGAGGCCCGTAATCTGCCATGGGGCCCTATGGCAGAAAAATGGGCCTGGCAGCAGCAATGGGAGGCCCGTAATCTGCCAGCACCCTATGACAAAAAATGAACACACCAGCAGTGTGAGGAGACCTGACAGGGCACCATGAGACACTGTGGACCTGGCAGCAGCATGAGGAGGCGGTATGGTAGGGGCCCATGGCAGATTAGGGGCCTGGCAGCAGCTATGGGAGGCCCGTAATCTGCCAGCACCCTATGACAAAAAATGGAACACACCAGCAGTGTGTGAGGAGACCTGAAAGTGGCACATGGCAGAGTGTGGCGATGGAGACAGCAGCAATGGGAGGCCGTACAGGGACCCATGACACACTCTGGACCTGGCAGCAGCATGAGGAGGCGGTACAGGGGCCCATGGCAGATTAGGGGCCTGGCAGCAGCTATGGGAGGCCCGTAATCTGCCAGCACCCTATGACAAAAAATGGAACACACCAGCAGTGTGAGGAGACCTGAAAGTGGCACATGGTTGGGGCATGATTCATGGCGGATTTAGTCAGTTGTGTCAGGAACTGGTGGTTTGAAATCCAGACTAATCCACGCCTGATTCATTTTCACAAACGTGAGTCTCTCCACACACTTTGGGTGGACAGTCGTGTCCTCCGCGGAGAGTTACAATACCTCCTGCCGCACTAAACACGCGCTCCGATGCCACGCTACTGGCCGGGCATGACAGCCTTTCAAGGGCAAATTCAGCTAGTTGGGGCCAAAAAACAAGAACCTGTAATGAGTCAAGTTTCGTTGCCCAGTAGTCAATGGGGGATTGTCTACCTGGCGGTTGGCAGGGTGCTGTCCAAGTAGGCCCAAGCCTGTTGTTTGGGGCCTGGCTCAGCTAGGTCCCCTGATGCTGCTGCTGCTGCGGCTATGTTAGTAGTTTGGAACACACTGCAGTGTGGGAACCTGAAAGTACTCATCATCGACTGCAGACTGAGGCAGGAGACAGCTGCAATGGAGCTGCCACTGCTCCTACCACCCCCCCCTCCCCTGTGGACCATGGCAGCGGAGCGAGGAGCGCACAGGGGCCACAGGTCTGATTATGGGGCCTTGGCGCAGAAATGGCAGGACCAGTAAACTGCTACACACCCTATGACAAAAATAGTACGTTATTTTGGCAACCCTCAGCAGTGTGTGAGGAAAAGGCCACCTTTTTGAGAACGGTAGCACATTGGTCAACAAGGTGGACTGAGCCAAAAGCATCCAATGTTGAGGTTATTATTCGGCTGTCGAAGAGACAAGCGAGCATGCTATGGGCCATTGGGCCAAGGAATGCGAGGGACTCCCTGCCAGATTCCACAGCATGGACTGCCACGCAGCATGGGTCCTCTGTCTCCTCCTCCTCCTACTCTAACAGATGCCCTGCTCCTCCACTCCTGTCACACCAGCAATGTGAGTGGAAAAAACCACCCATTGGGCACTGGCAATAATTGTGGCCTGGCAGCACAATGTCCGTCGGTACAGGGACCTTCATGTCCTGCCCCCACAGGGGGACTGCATGTGCAGCAGTTGAGATCTGTGCGCCACGTTAATCTGCCGCACCCTATGACCAGCCATTGTTAACAGGGCATTTGTTCCAGCAGTAACAGAGGAGGCCCTGACGTCGTTCATCCCTAGTGACCGACATCACGAAATAGCGTGGCCTCCTCAAAGGGGCCTGAGCATCACATGGCAGGTGTTCACGCATGGAGCTGCCAATGGCTGACATCCGTTACACAGGGGAGTACCTTTATCCGCTTGTAAACATGCAGCAAAATCGGTGATGGCCTTTCGCTACGTAAAGGCAGACATGGTTGAGGTTGGGGCCTGGCAAGTCAGCAGTGAGGAGGGTACGGATGTGGGTCAAGATTGGTTCTGCCGCAGCAGTCTCATGGGAGGCCCCGTATGCTTTGCCAGTGTAGGATGACAAAAAATGGAACACACTGCAGTGTGAGAGAGACCTGGAAAGTGGCACATGCAGAGTGTGGCGATTATATAGGAGACACTAACGCAATGGGAGGCCGTACAGGGACCATGAGAAACACTCTGGGACCTGGCAGCAGCTATGAGGAGGCGGTACTTTTAGGGGCCCATGGACAGATTAGGGGCCTGGCAGCAGCTATGGGAGGCCCGTATATCTGCCAGCACCCTATGACAAAAAATGGAAACACACCAGCAGTGTGTGAGGAGACCTGAAAGTGGCACATGGCAGAGTGTGGCGATGGAGACAGCAGCAGCAATGGTGGAGGCCGAGTACCAGGGAGCCATGAGAGACACATGGGAACCTGGCTAGCAGCATGAGGGAGGCGGTACAGGGGGCCCATGGCAGATTAGGGGCCTGTGGCAGCAGCAATGGGAGGCCCGTAATCTGCCAGCACCCTATGACAAAAATGGAACTCATGCCTGAAGTGGCACATGGCAGGGTGTGGGGACGGCCACGGTGCAGAAAGTGGCCGTAAGGGACCCTGAGACTCTGTGGACCTGGCTCAGCAGCATGAGGAGGCGGTTGAACAGGGGCCCATGGCAGATTAGGGCCTGGCAGCAGCTATGGGAGGCCGTAATCTGCCAGCACCCCTTGTATGACAAAAAATGGAACAAACACAGCAGGGTTGTGTGAGGAGACCCTGAACGTTGTGGCACATGGCAGAGTGTGGCGATGGAGTCAGCAGCAATGGGAGTAGGCCGTACAGGGACCCCATGAGAGACTCTGGACACTGGCAGCAGCATGAGGAGGCGTGGTTACAGGGGGCCCATGGCAGATTAGGGGCCTGGCAGCAGCTATGGGTGAGGCCGCGTAATCTGCAGCACCCTATGTCAAACTGGAACACACGTGGCAGCAGTTGTGAGGAGGACCTGAATGTGCATCATGGGGGCCAGAGAGTGTGGCTCATCGCGATGTTCGTAAAGCTGCAATGGGGAGGCGTACAGGGACCCATGAGGACCACTGTGGACCTTGGCAGCGATGCAGCATGAGGAGGGCGGTACAGGGGGCCCATGGCAGATTAGGGGGCCTGGCAGCAGCTATGGGAGGCCCGTAATCTGCCAGCACCCTATGACCAAAAATGGAACACACCAGACATGTGTGAGGAGACCTGAAAGTGGCACATGGGCAGAGGGTGGCGATGGAGACAGCAGCAATGGGAGGCCGTTACAGGGACCCATGACGAGACTGTGGACCTTGGCAGCAGCATGAGGAGGCGAGGCGTGGGGTACAGGGGGCCCATGGCAGCTAATTAGGGGCCTGGAGGCAGAAGCCATTGGAGGCCCGTAATCTGGCCCCGCACCCTATGACCAAAATGGAATGGAACA